TAAAATTGTTATGTACATGAATTATTAATTATTATGTTTTCGGCTTACTCACGTAACTGTTTGACGAGGAACTTGACTAGTCAGTCGCCGCGTCGCATGTGTCGGAACGCTGCTCATGAATATGAGCCTCTAGCGTGGCTTGAAACTAGTCGAGTTCCTCGTCAAACAGTTACGTGAGTAAGCCGAAAACATAATTATTAGTTTAGCATGTCCCACGACACTTTTAATATAAACATAAACTTTATTTTCAAAAGTTTTAATTATTGTATTTAATCAAGTTATCTAGCAAAACAGGCGAGTCACAGAAACCCTTTCTTAGAGAAAAGTTCTGTATCTCCCAAACAAGGCGAATTGTGGTTTCATTCATCCACAACCAGACAGTTAGTTTTTTTTTCGAAAATTTCTTTGTAGTTGCTCAGCATAGAGGCTGCGTTATATATGACTCCACGACTGACTTACTCGGCTGCACGGCTGGTGCGGTTGGGCGATCGGCTGCCGTGTAACGGGTTAGATTCCCGCACGGAGCAACTCTTTTTTTCAAAGATAAACAAGATGTATAGCTATATTCTCTCCCTCTATTACATAGAACTTAACTTTCATCGTCATCAACAGCCTATTAGAGCCCACTGTTGAGCAAAGCCTCTTCTCACACGGAGAAAGTTTGAGCATTAATCACCACGCTTGCTCATTACGGGTTGGCGATTTCAAACTTATTAGAAATTATAAGTCCAGGTTTCCTCCCGATGTTTCCTTCACCGTTTGTCAGTGGTATCTAAATAATCTTAAGAAGTACATATAACTCGGAAAAAGTCGCATTGATACTTGCCGTTGGTAGGTTTCGAACCCGCACCCTCAACAGCAACTTTGACTGCACGGTTGGTGCGGTGGCTGGGCAACCGGCTGCCGTGCAACGTGTCGCGGGTTCGATTCCCGCACGGAACAACACTTTGTATGATCCACAAATTGTTGTTTCGGGTCTGGGTGTCATTGTGTATGTGAACTTGTATGTTTGTAAACACACCCACGACACAGGAGAAAATCCTAGCGTGGGGCAACGTTTTTTTTTTTAAAAAAGAAAAAAGTATCCCTCATGCATGAGAAGCGGGTGCCTCCGGGCCACTACGACAACTGTACAGTAACTTTAGAAAATGCTAAATATTTGCCATTCTTATTTTTATTTAACATATTCAGTAGGCAACCATGTTAGTTTAAATACTTATACATATTGTATTATGTTAGTGCAAAGGTTACAGTTTTTTTTTGAAGTATCTTTTCATCTTTGTTTGCCAATATATCTACATTTTAAATATTTAAATAAAATCAGCGTGAATTGGTTTGTACCGTTTTGTTAGTGAGTTTGGTGACTCAGCATTGAGTTGTATAGGTTTGGTTTTTGACTAATCACCGCAGATTAGTCATGAATCATGATAGTGATAATGGTGTGATAAACCGACATCGGTATTTCCCCAAGGGGTTGTGGTGGATTTGATTTAAAATTTTTTGTGTTTGCATACTGGATCATTAGATTTATGTGTATTTTATCTTTATCTTTATCTGTTTTCACAAAAGATTTATGGTAATAGGTACTTCTTGACAATGGGTTTGGTTAATCTTGTATGACTCTTCGTTCACCTAACCTAACCTTTTGATCTCTGTACCCATACAAAAATTGTCCTGTTAGTCTGTTATCGCAGAGTTTAACTCTCGAAGTCTCGAAATCCGGGATAATTGGAAAAAAACCATACTGAAATAATTGCTTTTATAAAACTTAGCACCTTTAAGGATTCCTAATCAAGTAAAGCTATTAAAATTAAACATAGTTATAGTTGACTTATTTAATATTTTTCTAACAGCAGAAGCAGGTTGCGTGTCAGCATGCGTGGAAGAGAGTGCCGCTGAGTCTCGCGGCGCGCGACTAGCGCTGCGACGCGCGGCGTTACGGCGCCACGTTGCGCGCGCACACGACGCACTAGCCCTCGCCGCGCATCATAAGAATCATCGTGCGCTTGCATCGTTACTCAAGGTAACTATTTATTGTTGTATTTTGATTCTTATTACAAATTACTTGAGGTTGATCTTCATATTAAAAGTCGTCCTAGGAAATAATGTTTTGCCCAACAATCCTTATCCTTATCCTTACTAATCCTTACTAATATTATAAATGGGAAAGTGCGTTTGTTTGTTTATTTGTTCCACTTTCACGCCGTAACTACTTAACCGATTGCTTTGAATTTTTGCAGACGTAAAGTTAGAAGTCCGGATTAAATAATAGGGTACTTTTTATCCCGGAAAAATTTGATATTCCCGAGGGAAAACAAAAGTATTGGTATAGATGGCGCTGTATGTATTGGTATATGTCACATAGGCTACTTTTCATCCTTTTGTGACGCGAGCGAAGCCGCGGGTAAAAGCTAGTTTTTAATATTTACAATGTATTTACGCTTACAGAAACAGCTGAACAGGCCGGGATCATCAGGTCGTCTTCCAACGCAGACTGTAAATCATCTGCTCGCACTGCGCGGCATGCCTTCTGTATTAACCTCGCAAGAACGGAGGAGACTAAGGTATGCATTTAGAAAATATTGTTTACGTAACTCATTCTAGGTTCATTGTTGAGATTATAAAGATTTATCCTTAATTTTTTTTTATGGGATAAGTCGGTAAACGAGCTGGCGGATCACCTGATAGTAAACATTCGGTCATGGACACCTGGAACACCAGAGGCGTTACATTTACGTTACGTTACCGGCGTTTTGGGGATTAAGAATTTGAGGATTGTTGATTCGGCCTCCGGTAACTTCACTTATACGACGTAACACTACGCAAGCCTTGTTTTAAGTACGTCAGTTTTCTGTGAGCCCGTGCTATCAGTCCAGTCATAAACCTATGTGACAGATAGTTCATATAACTTACGTTCTTAATTCAATTTTATATGGTAGATAACAGCTATCCAGATATTGTGAATCAGGCCCTTAACATTGCAGACAATCGGGCTGGTCTGGCGGCGAGCCGTCGCTGCGCGAGTGCGGCAGTGCGTGGAGCGCGTGGTGCGCGTGGGAGCGCTGCGAGCAGGGCGCGCTGCCGTGCGCGCGGTACTGCCTGGCGCACGTGACGCGCGCGCCCGACCAGCGCCTGTACGCGGCCTGCGGCGCCGTCTTCGCGGGCGGCGCGCGCTGCAACCAGCCTCTCTTGCCGCTGTCCGACCATACGCCGCTGTGTGCTGAGCATGCTTGGAAACGGGTATGTACACTTAGTTGCTATCGTTTATTAAGAAACATGCTCCTTAGAAGTAAATGTTTGATTAGATAATCTGTAACTCGATGTCTTTTGGTGAAGCGAAAAAGGTGTGAAAGAATCGTAGCTATTGGCATTCCTTAGTCTCTGCCTACCCCCATGGGAGACAGGCCTTAAGTTATACAATGTTGTTTTAGAGTGACAATGAGTATGAAGTTCTGTTATTTGTCTAATCAAGTTCTAGTCAACCATGGGCTCATCTACATTTTTTAATTGTTGACGTGTAAAAGTGCTTTTATATATAGCCTAGTTACAAAAACAAAAACGGAATGTTTTTATGAAATACAACTAACTGAAAGTTTCTTCAGACTTTTTGTGTATTCAGTCTTAACTCATTGTAAAATTAAATATCATATACAATAATTTTGTCACCTTTAGATAATATTATACCATACATATTCCCCAGGACAACTACGACAAGCTAGCCCGCGACTGTCGCCCTAAGAAGGTCCCCCGCAAGCGTCCGTCCCCCCCGGTCCCCCGCGGCCCGCGCCGCGCCAAGCGCAGGCGACGACCGCCGGCGAGACTACGCCCGCCTACTGCAGAACCACTCACTGCAGAACAATCACTCTCCGGTATGTATTACGTAATGTTAACGAACGTCAAAACAAAATGCTCATTCCAAAGTTAAAACGTAGTAATTAAGCCAAAATGTTGCAAATGTCGACTAAAGTCAATGTTTCTTTCTTCAGAGCTGAACGTGTGTTCAAACTCGTCAACGTACGATAGTTCGGAGGAGGCGGCTATGGGGGCGCTCAGTGAGAGCGAGTATGTAACTGTCGCCAGCGATTCTCATGAGATGGGTGAGTAATTCTGCACCCTGATAAACCTGATATTAAAGTCGACCGATTTTAATGTCAAAGTCTGCTACGAAATATACTTAATTGGAGTACTTACAAGAAGTTGTAAGTACTCCAACTTCTTAAATGGTTTCTATTTAATTGTGTGTTTCGTTTCCAGAAGTAGAAGTCGGCCACGTACCACCGGACGACATATTGGATCCTGCTGTGCTCAGTCAAATACCCGATGAAGCGTTCACGGAGTTTTTCAATCAAGGTAAGCACCTATAGTTGATGTTCAATTTTGTATCATTATCATTTACTGGCTTTTTTCAGGCATATCTAGAATAAAATGTAACCTATGTGAAATTCGAGATTAATATATCTCTGTCTTAAATTTTAGTCGTATCTGCTTAGGGGCCGTTCAAATATTACGTAAGCAGTTTTTTTACAATTTTTTACACCCCCGTCCCCCTTGTCAGCAAAAGTAAGCAAAGATCTTACCCCCTCCCCCTTTGCTTGCGTAAACATTTTATATTGTAATTTTAATATTCTACCGATGACGTAATCATCATCTAGAATCCCCCTACCCCCCATATCATCCAAAATAAGCAAAACAGAAACCCCACCACCCCCCATGGCGCTTACGTAATACTTGAACGGCTCCTAATAATAGTTTTTGCGTAAAAGTAACAAACTTACACACAAACTTTATCATTTTAGTAGGATTGTAGGATTAGTAGCATCAGTAGCATTAATAGGATAGTCGAATTTGTATATCGTTTTTTTTTTATAAATTCATAATATTTTTAGCGGAAGGCGGAGCAGCATTCGCGGAGAGTTCAGAGCTGGCTGCGGCATTAGAAGCAGTGTTGGATGAGCGGGTATTGGACGAGCGGGTACTAGACGAGCGGGTACTGGACGAGCGGACACTGGACTCTATCGCCGACTGTGTGTTCACTCACTCGCCGCACTCGCACTACGCTAAGAACAAGGTAAGACTTAAACATTTTACAATAAGGGTTTTGTTTGTATACGTATACTCGTTAGTTGGTGCTGTTGAGCTCCATCATCTTAGGAAAGTTGATATATTGGTTTGAAGTTAGCAAATGTTGCAAAGATCGGCAACGCACTTTGTAACGCCTCTAGCGAGTATCCATTGACGGCGCCGATAACTTACCATCAGGCGATCTATATGCTTGTTTACCTATCCCATTGAAGAGTTTTATTATTCTTATTGTTACTTGGTAAGACTTAACTTACCACACCGTTGGCATAAGGTTTATTGGTGATTGCCATTATTACAATAGAGTAGCTTCTAAAGTAGTTTCTAAGTTCAGGGTGCAAATTGTTCCAGATGCAGGTCTCCACGTCCCTACCGATGGAGATGTCATCGCGCGTGCCCTCATAACACAGTAACTTTACACGTCTTACTTTAAGCTATAATAAACTCTATGTACTATAAACATTAGGAACAAATTCGATATTCATAGTCTCAAGAGGTGGAAATATTTTTCTTCATGCTTTAATTTTTTGTATGTGTGCATGTGTAGCGATGTGTAAGCGAAGATATTTGAGTGGTTCGTGATTCGGATTGATGTTTGATCAGTTTTCGTTACCTTAGAATCAATATTGTGGCTGCAAATGAATTTCGACTCAACTCGATGGTTTAAGGTAGTAAGTATTAGAATATTGAAATATGACGTCATAAACGTAAAGCTGAACACAGTATTGATTTTAAAGTTTATTTCATCGCCATTATTTAATACAGAGAACAATTTTGTGTTCAAACAAGTGGCTAGATTATCGTCTTAATGATTGACTATTATAAGGTTCATAGTTATTAATTGTAATTTTTCAAAACAATCGTTTTCAATGAGGTTAAAAATATTGTTAAATAATAAAACCTCTATTTCTTTTTCCTTTAAATAAAGGTTTATCGTTTTCGTCTACTAGTTGGCGCCACTTGCGCTTTAAGTCCTGTCACTATAATCTGTGTCGCGGTCAAATTGTATAAAATTAATAGACTACTAATTAAATGTACTTTAAATTCTATAGCAGCGCTCTTAGCGGTGAAAATTCGTAAAAAATCGTTTTATAAAAATGTGTTCTTGATCCATACTGACAGAAGAGATAATTTGATTTAGAAAAGGAATGATGAGAAATATTATTATGTCAAGAAGTTAGTTTTTTTTTCTTAAAACCGAGCTTTTACAGCCCAAGCTTTATTGCAATATGTATAGACAGCCAAGTTAGGTATGCAGGTAGGAAAATAGAGACTGATTCAGTACAGATACAATGCTCTTTAACGAAATCGTATCTTTCCTAACTATTGGTAGACGCTTTCGCCATACATACTATTGAAAGCAAGTATAACAGCTCACACATAGGACCCATTTAGTTTTTAGTGACATTTTCGATGGTGTTTCGCGACTGGGCTTCTACCAATCATGCAATCTCTTTTGTGCCTTTAGACTTAAGTCTTCTGCATAAATTCACCTAGGGAAGTGAAAACTTTAGTTTTCTTTTCTTATCCTCTATTAATATCTTCTGATTTATTTCGTTGTGGGAACCAAGACAGTTATTCATGTCCTTGGGACGCGCCGGACTTCAGTGTCCCGGTGTTTTCATGGTTGTATCTACTGTAGATAGTCGCTTACAGGAGTTGCAGCGGATTTCGGAGGTTTTGGCGGGCTTCCCAAGAAAAGAAACACAGTAGCCTCTTTACTGAATCAATCTTTATTCTCTTATCTGACTGACTTGGCTGACTAATCAACTAAACTGAAACTAAATTCTTCCGCCCTTCTTCCATAACAACAATAAGCTTTACAAAAACGAAACTAATTAAAAATAAATATTATCACCTTTTGCGTTTGTCGCAGTGTGTTTGTCCGAATCATAAAAGATTTGAAAAGTACTGCCAAGTCATACATGGACTTTACGGTAACTTCAACTGCGCACTAGGATTGTTTTAAAGCCTACATACTTTTTATACTTTATTGGGTCCTCCGCACATGCGCACTCTCGCACGATTCGTTGACGATACTGCGCCGAGACGTCAAAGTAAATGCGGATTTGGTAGTGCTCCATAGGTTTTGAATACTGTCACTCGCACGCGGCTTGTGACAGCCAATGCGAGTGTAATAGACTGCACGATTGGTGCGGTGGCTGGGCAACCGGCTGCCGTGCAATGTGCCGCGGGTTCGATTCCCGCACGGAGCAACACTTTGTGTGATCCACAAATTGTTGTTTCGGGTCTGGGTGTCATGTGTATGTGAACTTGAATGTTTGTAAACGCACCCACGACACAGGAGATAATCCTAGTGTGGAGCAACGTTTTTTTTTAAAAAAAAAAAAAAAATAAATAATGTTCGGCGGGCTTTAGACCTCTAACGTCCACCCCGACGTCATACAAGTGCTATTTCTCGAAATTCTACTGCTTTTCTTTCATAAAGACTTTATTCTCACATTATTAATACAGGACTGCCTCGATGGCCGAGTGGTCGCAAGTGCGACTGCCGGGCAACGGGTCTCGGGTTCGATTCCCGAGTCGGGCAAAGTATTACTGGGTTTTTATAAAAAAATCTCAGTAGTAGCACGGAGTCTGGAACATGGGACTCGTAACGTAAAAAGTGAAAAGTGGGTGTTACTTCTGTGTGCACCTCTGCCTACCCCTTCTGGGATAAAAGGCGTAATGTTATGTCATGTTAATAATACAAGAGTTCCGACATTCACACAGGACAAGCGCAAACGATTGTACGCCTTACAAACATTACAATGTTCACCAAATCTGAAGCCAATAAAAAAATATAATTTAAAAACCTCATGCCACAAGATTCGTTTGAAACATAATATTGTGAAAGTATTTGCAACATTGTTCTGCCTTCGTTAGGTCGTTGTAGTATTTAGGTAAATTATTATGATGTAAGAGATTTGAAATGGATGGATTCCGTATGGCAATGTTTGAGCATGGTCTTTGAAGATGTGGCTAGGATATTTTGGTTTTCATAACAAGCTGAATTGATCTAGTATTGGTCCTTTTTCTTACTCGTGTGGTGGAATGAATTCATTGCCATAACTGCATTAAGTTTAGAACTCCCTAGGTGGCGCTAGTGAGACGTTTGCTCTTATTACGCCAATCAATTTGTCCATCAGAACTTCTGATCATCATGAAGTTTGATTGATGAGCAATTAGTATAAAATAGAATCAGGTGTTACACCATGTTACACTAACAAATGGGAAAATATTTAGTTTTTTCTTACGCTGAAGAAATTAATCTACAGCATGCGGTATGCAGCACCGCCCTCCGCATTAATCTCTCCCGCCCGCAGCAGAGATTAATTGAAATGCTCATGCAGCAGAGATTGATTGCCGGGCAAATGATCCACCCATTCTACCCATGTTTTATTACAGAAAGATCGAATCTGATAATTAAAATTATCCTATTAGATTACACATTTTTTAGTGATATAATATGTCCTCTCCACTACCAATTTCATGGGCTTTGTCAGCAACTTTAGTTTAAATATGATAATTTCATTGAGCCATTCCAACTGGTCGGTCGGGAACTTACTGCGGACATCTTGTCGCTAAAATGACTTGACTTGACTTATGGTCCTATATCCCCTAGATGGGGGTAGAGGGTGTCCACAGAGGTTCTCCATCTCGATCAGCTTCTCACTTCACCTCGCTCCATGTCATTCCTATGCTTGTCGCCTCTATCACAGTACGACTCCAGATTTGCAGAGGACAGCCACATTTCCTTTTCCCTGGGGTTTCCAATCCAGGGGTATATGGTCGGGACCCCTTCGGAGCCTATGGCCTATCCATCCCCACTTGCGACGTTTGATCTGACGCAAACATGATGTTTGATAATTTAGACAGAACTTTGATGATTTCCAAATATCCTAGCTACGTCTATTCTTATGTCTAAGGTCCGGTAACGAGTGGCTCGTTTACATTATACTCAGTTTATTTGACATACCGCATGTGAGTGAATGTACTTGGTTTTAACGATATTTGTGACGTGAGAGGATGTTATTTATGCCTAAATTAAGCGAATAGAGACTTTAAAGTTAAAAGCGTAATAATTTGACCACGTGATCGACACATCTATGACGTTGGGCGCTCCTGATTGGCATGCTCCAACTAACGAACCAATCAGAGGGTTGAACGCAGTAACATTTCGATCGCGTTTACGTTAAAAAGTTGCACTAGGCCCTCTGGTGGACTTTTTACATTGTCAATTTCTAGAACAAATAGGAATGTTAAAAAAAATATTAGACACGTTTAATTCAATACTAAGGAGTCTCTACGTGCTTATTTACGGCTTTGTGCGCTAGAAAATGGAAGTGTTTGATCATAACTGGTCTTCTAGAACAACAAATTACCAGTTTTCTCAAGTTCATGATTTACTGATCAATAAATTATGAACTTAATATCGTTATCCTTAAATACCATTTTGGTCAAACACAAGCACTTTCGGATTATATTTTTAACAATATTTCTATACATATAAGCAAATGATGTAATCAACTATTTATTATGTAGTTAGCATCCTAATAAATATTCAAGAATTATTCAAAATAACTCAATAGCTATAGGCCTTGTTATTGACCTATTAAAACTGACTATGAAATTAAAATTCCTATTTATGTAAGTCTAATAGAATGTATAGATCGATACATACCTTTATGTAACCACTCAAGTATATCGAAACACTTATCTAACATTAGATACTTTTTTCCGGTAATTTTAACCTTTTACAAATGGCAACACCCAGTTTAGTATTGCCATTTAAAATCGAATACAGAGTAAAAATAATATTGCATTCTTTGTATTAAAAATAAATTTAATAAAAATTAATATTAACTGACGTGTTGTTAATATAAGTCAGTTTTAAATATAATTATTTCGACGTATCTATCTCCTGACATGTGATTTGACTTCAGAACACCAACTTTAAGCAATAGGAATAAAACGACGGATGTAAGACGGCATTGAGCATTTATAATTAATATTTTATTGTATAAAAGCCGCCTTTGACTTCGCTTAGTACAAATTTAATTACTAGTAATAATTCTTTAGTAAATTGTTAAGCATGCGGCCTGCGTATAATGTAACTGAGTATGCATGTAGTCGTGTTAGGAAGTCGTCTAGATAGATAGATAGTTGTACGTGTGGATGGATCGCTGTGTTTGAGGATTCCTAGGTAATCGCAACGTTGTCTATTTAAAAATATCAAAGTAAATCATAGTTTTAATAAAGCTAGTTGACATTTACTGCGATAAACCGTAAAGTGCCCACTGAGCTATCAAATCGATGTCTACCGTTTTTTAATCTACAATAATCTACTAAGTTTATAATAAAGTGCCGATCAGTGTTGTAGTACAAGCTCGGGACGAGACTTGTTAATACTATTATGTAAATAAAAGCAATATAGACTGGAACTACGTGAATGATATGCTAGAATATGTAACAATAGTGACAGAGATCGCCCTCATATCATATCTAAGACGTTTGTTTCAATGTGTTGTACCGTCAAAAGTAAAATAGTGCTAGAAACAGAACCAAATAAAGAAAATATTTTTGTAAATTCGTTATGTTCCTAAATAAAATCTTATGTGATTGTATATGGCTGAGAAGCGATTCTGTTTCAAATATATTTTGCTAGTATTGAAATCAATTGGTGTAATTTAAGTTTTAATTTGTTATTTATCATAATGAATGATCACTTTGGTATGTGCGTTTGGTTACTCGTGCCGATGTTTATGTAATTTTCAAGTGAAAATAAAACAAGTTTAATGTAATAGTTTCAGCTTCTTTAAGTGTTATATACATAACATAATAATGTATACAAAGTTAAACATTATTATTCCAAGCAATTGAATAGACAGTGCGCGTAAGATTGTATATTTTTAAAGTATAGGTTTCAATATAAATTTACCGTTCGCTAGTGTAGAGTTGTGTGACCGCGGCCGCGGTTCCTTTGTGTGTTTTCGTGTTGTAGACTGATTCTGGAGACAAGGACAGCAGTGTATTGCTGTCACTGTCGTATCTTAGCTTTCGGGTACTTGCAAGTACATATCTTTGTACTCAAGATAAAATAAAGAGTACCAATGAAATAAAAGCATATAAAAAGGCTGCAAGTGAGTACGTGTTAATATATTGCTTTGTGTATATTCCAAAACATAGCACAAACAAGCGATTTGTCTCACAGATTATAATATAAGCGTGGACTGAGAATGAACATCGAAACATTTTTAATTGCTTTCTAAGCTGTCACGCTGATCTTTGTCGAACGTACTTACTCGGTAGACAAATTACATAAACACTATTCGAATAGAATAGAAAAGATGATGTTTGAGATTGACATGAGCTTATGTCAAATTTGACGTTTGGTAATGCCAATCCCATATATTGACTTTTTTATTTGATGCTGGCAGAATATTTGACTAGAATTAGTGGAGACTCAGACGGTATTACTAAAAAAGGACTATCGTTTGTATTTCGGTAGTGTATATGTCATTTTCTAGCGGGAGTGTTCAGCCTAGATTCGGTTTTTGTTGAGATTCCAAGACAATAAAT